CGCGGCGCTCCGGCCCCCAGGGAGAGCGGGGCCACGGCCCGGCTCGCCGCCCTCCCCCCGGGGCTCGCCGCCCTCCCCCCGGCCGCCGGGGGGAGAGCAGAGCCCCCGCCGGGGCTCGCTGCCCTCCCCCCGCGGCCGGCGGCTTTTTTTGCCTGGGGCGGCAAAAAAGCCAGAGCCGGCCCTGAGTGGGAAGTGACCTAGTCCCCATAAATGCACTTGGAGGCTGGAGATCAGTGAACTCCAGGAATCCCCAGAGCTGATCCCTTGTCATCCCCAGCCTCCTGCAGAGGATACCCCAGTATAACCCTCCTGCTTACATTAGAGAGCTTTGGAGATGTCCCTGTAGCTTCTCCAGAGAGAGGCCATTGTTGGGGATGGAGGGGAGAGAAGATGACTGGGGGAAAGAGGGTGACTGGTTTCTCAGTTCTAAGCACAAAACTTTACCCCCATCAGCCCAAACCTTCATGAGAGCAGCGCCCCCAAGGTTCTCGCCATGTGAATTTGAGGTGAGATGTGAGTCTTTCACACATCCAAGTTTTGCAAGCTTTGTTGTCATGAGACACGGATCATATGGTACATTATTCTCTTGGCATTTGGATAAGAGGTGCTATAGAACAGGGTGGGCCTAGCTGGTGGGTTACTGAACACTACAGACCCAAAAGAGAGTCATCTCTCTCTCTCTTTTTTTTTAAATATAGAAAAATTCACTGCGATCCCTGGTCTAAAGCATGGCTGTTGCAGGCAGCTGTATTGGGATGTAGGATTTGTAGCATGGTACTAACCCCGGGAGTCAACGTGGTCTTAAATTACTTCAGCCTGATACCTCTTATCTGTTTTTCTTAACCACAAAAGAGCTGTTTTACTATTGGGAATTAGGGAATCCACAGTTCTGTTTAGTACCAGGCTTGACAGTATGGCTTAATCAACATTGCAACAAACACCGGGATCTTAAGGAACCAGTGGCCTGATAAAGTGGAGCGCAAGCAGCATAAATGAAATGAACTAGATTCTAGGGCCTGATTTCAAACTCATTTATTCTGGTGTAAACCAGGATTAAGCCCACTGAAGGTAATGGATTCCACCAACATACACCACAGCCAACATTTTCCACTGTAGGTGCTGCCATAAGGGCTCTTTGCTAGCTTCATTAAGGTCTGGTGTATTTAAAGTCAAAAATAGATGTAACGCTGAAAACTGTCCCCACCAGTAGATCTGGGTGCCATAACGGATCTTTTGGTTCACTGACGTCTCAGTGTATGTGGAACCAAATATGAGAATTTTGAAAATGTGTGATGAATTGAAATGTTGGAAAAAATTTCAAAAGCCCAATTCAACATTTTTTGTTTCAATTTCAGGTATTTTAACAAAAGGAAAGGCGGATTAGATTCACAAACTAGCTAGTGGGAGAGGAGGCAGTGGTCCCCTTATAAGCTTTAGCCCAGGAGTAAAGGCACTTTCCTGGGATGTGGGGAACCTGGCTTCAATTCCCCCTCTGACTAATGTGGAGAAGGGATTTGTAGCTGGGTCTCCCACATTGCAGGAGTAGCGCCCTAACCATCAAGCTATAGAGTCATTCTCTTTTCCTGGCCCAATGACTATTCATTGTCATTCACAGTGGCAGTTCAAAGTTATTCAAGAATAGTCATTGGGCCAATAGGGAAAGAGAATGACTCTATAGCTTGGTGGTTAGGATAGTCACCTAGGATTTGGGACAACCAAGCTGCAGTCCCTGCTCTGATGATTATTTACAAAAAGTGGAACAGGAGAGACAGGGAAACTCATAACAGTGTACCTCATCGCCTAGGGTACTTTCTTCCAATGTGGGAGATCCAAGTTCAAATCTCTTCTTCATATCAGGCAGAGGAAGGAATTGAAGCTACATCCCAAGAGAGTGCCCTAAGCACTGGGCCATAGCTTCTAAGGAGAAGCCAACCACTTGTTACTCCATCTGTTTTGTGACTCCAGTCAGAAACATTTTTTCAATTTTTGGTTACGGCTAAACGATTTGGCAAACTTGAGACAAGTTCGCAAATATCTTTGAGTTGGTCAAAACGGCATTTGTAGTTTATTTGCTAGTTGCCAAAAACATTTTCTCCCAGCTCTACCCACCAGATCACAACAATTTTTGTAATAGGTCACCTTTGGGGCCTAGGCCATTTGCCTGTGTCCGTTTCAGACCTTAAAGGTTAGGTCAGGTCACAGGGTTTAGATAGCATTGCACAGCTGTAAATCCGAATATCTTTTACACAGATGTGTCAGAAGATGCAATGCTGAAACTTTTTGGAGAATATTTCTTTACTTTCTGTAAGATGTCGGGCTATGATCGAATGCTACAGACTTTGGGAGGGAATCTAACTGAATTTATCGAGAATCTAGATACCCTTCATAGTTACCTTGCATCGTCCTACCAGGTATTGTCTTCTTTCTGTGAATGTAAATTAAAGAGGCTCCACTCCCTGGCAATTTTTCTAGTTCTGTGCTTTATGGAGGAAATCTTCTCCCTGCCATCCTGCTCCTGTAAGAAGATGGGGAATCCTCCACATCAGCCCACGTGCTGGCAGTGGAATTGGAAATCTGAAGCTATTCCACCCTAAAGAGTTTTACAAACCCATCTCCACATGGGGAGGAACACTGAAGGCACTGCCGGATCCTCCAGCTTTGCCCTTCTCGTGTCCACTATGGTCCATCCCAAGTCCCCTGGAGATAGCCATCCTGGAAGTCACAAGGGAGCTGTACACCCCTCTCTATGTTGCTTTCCCAAGGCTTACCTCTCCCCTTTGCAACAGCACTGCAGTGGTTCCTCTGCCAAAGGAGTGTGTTTCTATGTGTTGGAAGGATTTGCCCCTAAATGCCTAACAGCAGATTTGCAGGTACAAGTGAGAGAGTTCAAAATATCCTGTGGCCACTTCTGGCTCTTGCGTTCACTAAAACGGCATGGCAATGATGGAACGTGCCAAAGCTACCCCAGAATCCCATGAACAAATACCCAGAGTGCAAAACCAAAAATCCCTCAAGCAAACAAGAGACAACGCCATAGTCCATCAGATTAGATTTTTTTTTCATGCCAGTTTTCAGTTTGCTGATGAGTCTTTATGTCTTTGAAGTAATTGATGAAATAGTGGGCCAGACCCTCAACTGGTGTAAATCAGCATAGCTCAATGACATCTCTCGGGCAGGTGACTATGCAGGTGTACTGGGTTCTCTCATCTCCTTACTTAGGAAATGAATGCACCATCATTTCGTGTGGAAAAGAGGACAGACGGGGCAATGCTACTTCACTACTATTCTGACAGGAGAGGCCTGTGTCATATTGTCCCAGGTAAAACCAATATTATCTCATACTAGGCCATAGTGTGCTCTCAGATACCTGTCACCCGGGGCTCCCTGGGACCTTAGCACTTTGAGTCCTCACCTTCAAGGCCATGTTCAGCTTAGTTCCTGCACCTCTCTGCTCCTCTCTCTTTTCTCTTTCTGAAAAGTTAGTCCCCTCATGCTTTTCTCCCTCTCCACTTCCCTCTTCTCCTCCTTCGCCCTTCCTTAAGACACACTTCTTCCAAAAGGCCTATGACTCTTAATACTCCCTACAATGAAGCATTAACAAAAGGATGCTGGAATATTTAGTTTAAAAGGGAGTGAGACAAAAATGGTGGGAACAACAGGACACGTGTTGAATGCCACCAGTCACTTTGCTTTCCATGCTGCTTCAGCAGTACATTGTCTGTCTAGACCACA